TGTTCCGTTTATAGAGCATAGGCAGAGTAGATTTAGCATAATTCTTAAGGGCCCTAGGATTTTCCAGAATGGCAAATGAGCATTGGCTTCAACTTAAAGTCACATTAGCTCCTAACAAGAGAGTCAGCGTGTCCTTTGAAGCTTTGAAGCCAGGCACTGATTTCTGTCTAGCTATGAAAGTCCTAGATGGCATCTTCCAAAAGAAGGCTGTTCCATGCACGTGAAAATCTGTTGTTTAGTGTAGCCACCTTCCTCAGTGATCTTAGCTAGATCTTCTGGATTACTTGCTGCAGCTTCTACATCAGCACTTGTTGTTTCATGTTGTGTGTTATGGAGATGGCTTTTTTCCTTAAACCTCATGAACCAAGCTCTGCTAGCTTCCAACTTTTCTTCCACAGCTTCCTCACCACTCTCAGCCCTCACAGAATTCAGGAGAGTCAGGGCCTCACTCTGGATTAGGCTTTGGCTTAAGGCAGTGTTGTGGCTGGTTTGATCTTCTACCCACACCACTAAACCTTTTCTCCATAGCAGCAATAAGGCCGTTTCATTTCTTTAACATTTGTATGTTCACTGGAGTATCACTTTAATTTCCTTCAAGAAATTTTCCTTTATGTTCACAACTTGGCTGTTTGGCACAAGAGGCCTAGCTTTTGGCCTATCTCGGTTTCTGAGGTGCCGTCCTCACTAAGCTTAATCATTTCTAGCTGTTGATTTAAAGTAAGAGACATGTGACTCTTGCTTTCACTTGAACACTTAGAGTCTATCATAGGGTTATTAATTGGGCTAATTTCAATATTGTTGTGTCTTAGGGAATAGGGAGTCCCTAGGAGATGGGGAGAGACGGGCTGGTTGGTGGAGGAGTCAGATCACATGCAACATTTATAGATTAAGTTTGCCATCTTACGTGGGAGCAGTCCGGGTTGCCCCCAGACAGTTACATTAGGTTTGGATTCCCGTTATCAGCCAGGCACTGCGGATGGAGAGGGCAGAGTTCCGAGGTGTTCCCATAGAGCCATGGCGGTCCCTAGTGTGCACACACATTCTCCCAGTTACTCATTCAAACACTCACCTGGGTACTGGGATGAAGAGATTTGCAGGTCCCAAGTCAGTGACTTAAGATGGAGAGGGTATCCAGGTGGGCCTACCTGATCACACAAGCGCTTTGAAAGCAGATTTTCTCCAGCTAGATGGAGGCCTGAAGGCCAAGACTGGAAGCACGAGAGAGATTCAATGTGCGGTTCCTGCTGGTGTCCTCTAGGAGCAGCTCCCCGTGACAGCCAGCAAGCAAACAGGGTCCTCAGCTTACGATCACAGGGAAGTGGAGTCTGCCAAAAATCTGAACGGGTTCTGAAACAGATTTCCTCCCAGAGTCTCTAAATGAAAACGCAGCACTGTTTGTAACACCCCAAAGTGTGTAACACTTGTGTGGCCTTGAGCAGCTGTCCCAGCCATATGGAGCTGGACTTGAGGCCTACAGAGCTGTGGGATAACAAATGCTTGCTGTTTTAAGCTGCTACATTTGTGGTAAATTATTTTGCAGCAACGGTTAACTACTCGAGTGGGCCTCCCCTAGGAGAGGGCATGACCTTGGGCGAGGCAGATTCCTTTGCTTTAGAGCAGTTCCGAATGAGAATTCCCAGACTGGAGGGTGGGGTGTTGCCCTGCAGAGGGCAGCTGGGCAGAGCATCTAGTACCTGGGTAAGGGGACTAACCCCAGGCCCAGCAGTGCTCTAAAGTAAGCACCCCTGACACTCAGGTGGCAATGTGGAGGGTCCCCACAGCCCTGTGCTCCCACCGGCCATAGTCCTCTCCTGAAGATACCACTGTTTAGGTCCCCCTGGGGTTGGCTTTGTGTGTTTTGAGCTCCATGTGATGGAATCATGCGTTGTGACTCCTTTTGGCCTGGCTGCGTCTGCTCAGCATTTCGTCTGCGGAGCCACCTGCACCTTTGTGTGCAGCTGTTCTTTTCTTTGCCACATATTATTCCCTGTGTGAGTAAGGGAATATCCTCTGTTGCTGGATGTTTGGGTGTTACAAACAGTGCTGCTTTGAACATTCTAACTAAAGACTTTACCAGGGCAGGCTTGCGATTTCTTCCAACAAACAGCGCAATTCCCTTAAAAATAGTCTTTTGGGCTGCTTGCCAGTGATCCATGGGACGGCTCTAGTTTTCAAACCAGCAGAATCTCCCATTTTATTTACTGACTTCGGTGCTGGGCCATCCCCGCCCCCGCCCCATTTCACTGGCAATTATCAGAGACAGCAGTACTTGGTGGGAAGGTGCTACCTCTACCTGACCTTTGCAGCTGGACCGGCTTCCATGTCTGACAAGAACCCCAGTGAAAAGGCTCTTGAGGGGAAGCAGTCGATTTTTTTAGTCCTTGATAGAATCTCAGACGTCACACTGGTAAAGTACAGGTGCCAGGAGAGACACTTTCCCCCACTAGAGCCAACATCCAATATTAAAGTTTCTGTTACTTACTGTTGGCAACAATGTGGAGTGAGGGGCTGCCATTACATAGCAATAATTATAATTACCACGTGTTGTGTGTGTTCTGTGTGTGCATCATTAGAACATCCATTCATACAATAAATATTTACTAAACGTATAACTCTATGCCAGGAATTATGTGGGGTGCTGGAACTGTAGACAGAACACAGTCCCTGCCCACATGGCACTTATATTCTCTAGGGGGAGACAGACAGCAGCAAACATAGTTTGTTGTCTGTGGTGTGTGTATATATCACAATTCATTGATTCCAAGACACCTTTTCTTCATGTTTTAATATCTCTGAAACCGAATTGCCTCTTAGAATTGCTGGAATATTTTAGTTTAAGTTGGTAATTTTATTTTCCTTTATGATACATAAAACAATCATATCTCATAATTGACGGCCCCTCAGCTTGGATAACATACAATCTGTCAGGTAGTAAGAACATGGAGAAAAAGCAGAGTTGGAGATGGGGAGTGTGGGAGGGTGGGGCCGGGGTCACTGAGAGGGTTATCCAAGGATTCTGAGTGACATTGACACGGACATCTGGAGGATACACAGGAGTGGGCCAGGCATATCCTTGGAAGGTGTTTTATAAGAAAGACGAAATGTGAAAAGGCCCCACACAGGCCAGGGACGGCAGGGCCCAGTGCAGCTGGAGAGGGCTGGAGGAGGGGCAGCATGGCCATCATAAGGAAGTTGACTTTGGCTTCATGGGGGATGGGAAAACCTTGTAAGTTTATTAATAGAAAAATGATGTCTGATTTTTGCTTTTAAAGGGTCATTCTGCTGGTGGTGTAGAAAACAGATGGAGAAAGGGAGAAGTAGGGAGAACAGTTAGGAGGCTTCTGCACTTGTGTGATGAGAAATGCTGGTGGTGGTGCCGGAGATGGGAGGAACAGCCAGGCGCTGGGGGTGAGCATGGGGCCAACTGATAGGTAGGTGTGGGCTGAGAGCAAGGGGAGACAGGCCAGGATTACTGCCACATCCGTGGGCTGAACAGATGTGATAATGGAATTGTCACTCACCGATGTGGACAAAACCATAGACGGGGAAATCAGAAGTTAAGGTGGATGTGTTAGGTTTGAAAAGTTTCTGAGAGCGTGAGTGACAATGCCAGGTGAAGAGCTGGTCAGTATGGAAGTCAGGAAGAGGCCAGGGTGGAGTGGACGCGTGTGAGTCTATAGAGTGGGCGTGTGATCCTGAAATGGGTGCGCTCACCTATGGAGTGAATCTGGATGGAGAGGAGTTCTGAGGACAGCCCAGGGCACACTGGAGCCTTGAGGTGCTATCAGAGGACACTGGAATGAGCTGACTGGGAGAATGGAAGGGACCAAGAGAGGTTGTCTTGGAATCCAAGTGAGGACAGCGATTTCAGAAGGAGCGAGTCTCTGGCTGTGATGGGCTGAGTCAGATGTCACACTCCCACCCAGGCTTGGTGAGGGGTGGGCTGCGCCCAACTGCAGTGGGTTCAGGGAAGGACAGTGCATGGGGTGTCGTGCATGGAGGAGGAAGGTGATGGGGCAGTAGCTGGCGGGGGGGCGGGGAATAGAGTCCAGAAAGTTTACTTTTTAGGTGGGAGGAAAGCCCAGTGTTGTTGTGTGCTGATGGGCATGGTGCTGGGAGGGTGGGGGGTTGTGATGGAGCAGAGGGGTGGGCACTTGAGTGGTATCCTGTGGTGGGTGAGAGGGGAAGGGCCCCAGCACACAAGTGGGATGTCAGCCTCAGATGGGATCAACGACAGTTTAACCCATGTAACTGGGGACCAGGGGATGGGTACGGGTATGGGTGGGTTGTAGGTGTGGGAGGAAGTGGATATTCTTGTCTCATTGCTGCCATTTTCTTGTTGAAACAAGAAGCTGAGATGAAGGAGGGCACGTTGGACATTGAAGGAGACAGGACAAAGCAGAGGATGGTCTTTAGGAAAGTTGGGGAAGTGCAGAAAGTTGCCAGCAACTCTCAGGGCCCCCTTAGTCAAGGGCTCTGACATTATAGAGAGCTCATTTGGCATGAATGCAGACACAGATCAGGAGACAATTCCCACAAAAGTGTGGTAGGGCAGGGAGCTTGGAGTATGTGCAAGGGGATGACTATAATGTGGAACCTAAAGTGACTGCAGCACATAGACCATGGGGCCTTAGCTGGCAGGGGCGGGGGGTGGTACATTTGTGTGTTTCTTGGGAAACATATGTCTTAATGATCTTAAAGAGTCTGAGCCCTTCCCCACCCTCTGCCACTCATCTGGGATTCACTGGGGGTCAGAGGAGCTCTATGCACCACAGGCCAGTCTGTTATGGAGCTGGATGTGTTAGCAATGGAGCCACATGAAGCCTTCCGTGTGGGACAGGCTGACTGGGGTGAGGCCAGAGTTGAGTCAGGAGCGGCGGCAGAGGAAGCACTTTCCTGTCCCAGTTGTTGGGCATGCATTTATTTCATCCTCCACCTGCTGCAGCAGACTGCTATCTGTTAACAAAGGTGGAAGATTATCTTGTTCTCTTTTGTTTCAGATTCTAAAGCAGGAATTGGTGAAAAGAAGGGAACTCTGAAGACTGGATTTCTGAGGATGAAAATTTGCACAGTACAACATCAGACAAACTCACAGTGATGGAGCCCCTCATCCCTGAGTCCAGGGAAGTATGTGAACCCAGACTAGGGGAGCTATTGGGAAATGCAGAAGGGCAGAGCCTGGGGAGTTCTCCCTCTCAGGAGGGGGGCTTCAAGCAGATGACTGTTACCCATTGGAAAATCCAAACAGGAGAGACAGCCCAGGCATGCAGTAAGTCAGGAAGAAACCCTATTCTGAACTCAAACCTTCTTATACTTCAGAGTGAGCTTATAGCAGAGGAAACCCATCCTTGTGATATTTGTGGCAAAAGCTTCACATTTAATTCGGACCTAGTTAGACATCAGATTTCTCATACTGGGGAGAAACTTTATAAATGTGATCAATGTGGAAAAGGCTTTGGTCAGAGCTCACACCTTACTGAGCACCAGAGGGTTCACACTGGAGAGAGACTCTATGTATGTAACGTGTGTGGTAAAGACTTCGTTCACTATGCAAATCTTCTCGAGCATCAGCAGGTACACACGGGAGAAAAGCCGTTCAGGTGTACACAATGTGGGAAAGCCTTCTGTCATAGTTCAGACCTGATTCGACACCAGAGGGTTCATACCAGAGAGAGACCTTTTGAATGCAAAGAGTGTGGAAAAGGCTTCAGTCAGAGCTCGCTGCTGATTCGACATCAGAGAATTCACACAGGGGAAAGGCCCTATGAGTGTAATGAATGTGGGAAATCCTTCATCAGGAGCTCAAGCCTTATTCGACATTATCAGATCCACACAGAAGTGAAACAGTATGAATGCAAAGAGTGTGGGAAGGCATTTCGTCATCGCTCAGACCTTATTGAACACCAGAGAATTCACACTGGAGAGAGACCCTTTGAATGTAATGAATGTGGGAAAGCCTTTATTCGAAGTTCAAAGCTCATTCAGCATCAGAGAATTCATACTGGAGAAAGGCCTTATGTATGCAATGAGTGTGGAAAGCGTTTCAGCCAGACGTCAAACTTCACTCAGCATCAGAGGATTCACACTGGAGAGAAACTCTATGAATGTAATGAATGTGGGAAAGCATTCTTTCTGAGCTCATACCTTATTCGACACCAGAAAATTCACACTGGAGAGAGAGTGTATGAATGTAAAGAATGTGGGAAAGCGTTTCTCCAGAAAGCCCATCTCACTGAACATCAGAAGATCCACACTGGGGACAGACCCTTTGAATGCAAAGACTGTGGGAAAGCCTTCATCCAGAGCTCCAAGCTGCTTCTGCATCAGATCATTCACACTGGAGAGAAGCCCTATGTGTGTAGTTATTGTGGGAAAGGCTTTATTCAGAGGTCAAATTTCCTTCAACACCAGAAAATTCATACAGAAGAGAAACTCTATGAATATAGTCAGTATGGGAAAGATTTTAACTCAACTCCAAACTTTAAAAATAATCCAGGTGTTCACCAAGAGGGTTCTCCTTGAGCAAGGCCCCCACACAAAAGTGAGAGATCTGTAGGTCAGGGGGACACACAGAAAACTTACAAAATAATAACTCTCCCTCTCAATGAGTGATGTTTTGAAATGAGTGGTATTAGGATGTACGTGGCTTCAAAGATTTGGACATGTTAGAATTTTGTGAATCACGGACAGGGCTGCTTTGGGACTGTGCTGCCGTCTACCACTTTGCAGCATCACTGGACTCAGTTCTGAATGCTATCCTCGGAGAGCCGTGGGGCTTTACAGCTGAATTTGAGCTGAAACATGGGGACAGGGAGGGGACAGGTATCAAGATATTTATGTTTCATTCACAGATACAGTCCATCTTTGAGTTAAATCCCTTTTAAAGTGGAACTGTTTATCTAATCTTGTTACTTAGAAGAGTGTTACCTAGCAATGTTGACCTATCAAAAAATCAAGTTGGAAAAAGCTAACTTTTATGAAAAACATGACAAACTGGTTCCCTGTTGTCCTTAGGATAAACTCCAGGCTCCTAATCTTCCAATCATGCATCCTAAGACCTCGTGTTCTCTCGTCTCAGGATGCTCCAGCGGCGCTAACTGGTTCGTGTTCCCCACGTGCTCCAAGCTGTTTCCTGCCTTTTTTCTTTTGTTCTTGACTGAATGGTCCCTCCTTTTCTCAGCTGATTAACTCCTAATCACTGTTCAAGACTCACCGTGGCAGCACGTTCGGGACACTTCCCTCGGGCTCAGCTCGGGAGCCCGTCTGTGCTGCTGCTAGTCCATGCTCCCCTCTGTTGCTGTACTTACTTTGGTGTGTTACAGTTATGATTTTATATACCATCTCTTTCATTATATGCTTAGTTCCTTGAGGACAGTGATATCTGGCTGATTTATGTGTCCCCAGTGTCTAGCACAAAGCAATAAAAAACACCCCCAAATCTCTGCGTAATTGGCATTTCTCTTGCATTGTCCTTTCTATACTGGTATTTTTAAAATTTGGGGGTGTTTTTTTTTGTTGTTGTTGTTTCGTATCAGTACAATCTATTCTATTGGAAGTACTTTCTCTCTCAGCCCTGTTACTGTTTTCTGCTCCCACTTGACTTGGAAATTGCAGTCAATCCCTGCACACAGTTCACACCCCTCCTGCTCAATGCCTGTACAGCTCGCTCATGCTGTCTGCTGGACTTGGAGGGCATCATCTTCACTTAGTTGTCTGTGCATCTTTCTAACTCATTGAGAGGCACGGTCCCAGTGCACTATGTAGCAGTTCCAGGACTGAACTCAACTCCTGTCATTTTCCATGCTCTCTGGCTCATGTTGTCATTTATTTGAACATGTATTGATATCTATAAGGAATAGTCCTATATATTGGGAAAACAGATGAGTAAGACACCATCCATCCTGAAGTCGTTCAGAGTGTAGTGCGGAGATAGAGATCACTGTACAGTACATCGAGTGTTGGGATAGCATTATGTTCTCAGTGGTGTAGGAGCACAGGTAAGGAGGGAAGTCATTTCGCACAGAAGATCTGGGAAGGCTACACAGAAGAGGTGACTTTCAACTGGGCTGGCAAGATCAGTGGACATGTATCAGCTAAAGAAAAAATATCTGAGAGGGACTCTGAAGAAACAAGGAATCCTGACAGATGGCCCTTTGGTAGGGTTGTTCAGTAGCAGGCAGTTTTAATGCACAGTGGATAACCATCTAGCGAAACTGTTCGTCTTTATCCCTGAATTTCTTTCATCTGAACACTAGCCCAAGCAACTAGCTTTAAAATTACATAAAACCATTTTTTTTGCCAATGGGGGCATATTCTAAGTTCTTAAGTTTTACCAACCCTAGAAGCCTTGAGGGGACAGATAATTCAAAAACGACATCTAGTACTCCATTTCTGCAAAACTCACCATTACTAGAGATGTTTTGAATGGTATAGAAGTAGATATTGCCAGACCATTTTAATCGACATTACTGAGGTTCAATTTTCATATAATAAAACACCTATTTTAAGTGTCAGTGTTTTGAAAAATCCACACCCGCTTTTAACCACCACGACCACCACCACCACAATCAAGACAAATAACATTTCTATCACCTAAAAGTTCCCTTTTGCCTTTTCATAGTTAATCCCACTCTGGCCCCAGGTAACCACTTTGTCAGTGTAGATTAGTTTTGCTTGTTCTAGAACTTCATATAAATGGATTCATACAGTATGTATTCTTTTGTGTCTGACTTCTTTCACTTGGCATGTTTTTAGACTCAACCAAGTTGTTTCGTGTTTCAGTAAGTTCTCTTTGCTGAGTAGTGTTCCATTGTATGGGTAAGCCATCATTTGTTTATTCTCCACCTGTTGATAAAATTTGGGTTTCCTGTTTTGGCTCCTAAGAATAAAACTGCTATGAGCATTTGTGTAAAAGTATTTGCACATGTGTTTTTATTTCTCTTGGGTAAATACCTAGGACTTTAATTGCTGGGTTGTAAGTGTCTTAGGCCAGGCTATAACAAATTACCATAAACTGGGTGGCTTATGAACACCAGAAACGTATTTCTTATAGTTCTGGAATCAAGGAATTCCAAGGTCAAGGTTCTGACAGATTTGGTGTCCAGCGAGGGCCGACTTCCTTCATAAGTAGATACCTTCTCATAGTAACCTCATGTGAAGAGGGCTAGGGAGCTTTCTCGGACTTTTTATATGGGCATAAGTCTCACCTCCTTGTACCATCCCAATGGGGGTTAGGCTTTCAACATATGAATTTGGGGAGAGGGACATAAACGTTCAGTCCGTAGCAATAAGTGTGTTTATAAGAAATTTCAACACGGATCTCCATAGTGGTTGCATTATTTTTACTCCTACCACAGTGTATGTGAGAATTCCAGTTGCTCCACATCTTTGCTAACACTTGGTTTTATCAGTCTTTTAAAATTTAACCCATTTTGGTCTCCTTATGATTTTCATTTGTATTTGCCTGCTAAATGATGGTATTCAGCATCTATGATTTCATGTGCTTATTAGCCATTCTGTATCACATCGTTTGCCCATTTTTTTGATTTTTTTTATTTCTGCATATTATAGGGGTACAAATGTTTAGGTTACATTGCCCTTGCCTGGCACCCCCAAGTCAGAGCTTCAAGCATGTCCATCCCCTGGATGGTGAACATCGCACTCATTATGTATGTAATACCCATCCCCTCCTCCCCCCTCCCATCTGCCCGATGCCCGATAAATGTTACTCCTATATGTGCACTTAGGTGTCTTTTGCCCATTTTTAACACATTAACTGCCATCTGAGTTGTATTTAACTCAGGTTAGTTTTGAGCTGAGGCCTCGTGAAGCATATGCAACTCACACACCTCTTCACCTTGGGAGCCGAATGAACTATTTTTCAAGTTGCACATAACTCACACACAGAAAACAAAAAAATAACAAAGTTTTCATTAAATTAGAAAGGATCATTTTGTTTTCAAAGTTTTTATTCTGTTTTCGTAATGAAACACTGTGGTCCCAAGGAAAAATGTTTTTTTTTTTTTCCTAGCGTGGCAGTCGAAGTGTTAAGTTGGATTGTTTGCCTTGTTATTGACTTGTAAGAGTTCTCTAGCTGAAAGTCTCCAAATGTTAATTATAAATATTTTAGTGTTTAGTTTGCCTTTT